CGAAAAAGGACGATTTCGATGTTATGTGCTATGTACGATATCATGTACGGTGAAAGATCGTAGGCTATAGGATGGCTTTTTTTTTGGTCGTGCTTTACCCCATTCTAACCTTCCGTCAGCGAACCTGCACCTGTGCCCGGTCTTGCACCAATTTGGGACTTCCCAACATATTAATATTGAAAATCTACTGTACTAAAAAAAATATATATCTATGATCAATCCTCCACATCAAGTCTTGTCGTAATTTTGTCTGACTGTGCCAGGTTTTATGAAGAGTGAAGAGTGAAGAGAGTTCAAGGGATGTTAGATCAAGTAGTAGACCTAGTTCGAAAAAGTGTGCGTGTGTATTTGTTTGGCTGTTTGTTTGGTTGTTAGTTTGTTTGTGTGTGTGTGTGTGTGTGTGTGTGTGTGTGTTGGCGGGGGTTGCATCTGCATGCGAGCATTCGTAAGAGAGCATGGGTTTATAAATATAATGTGCCGAGAACTGTACCGGTAGATCTAGGCCTTGTATTAGTCTATGATAGTTTTCTTCATTTTCTTTTCTTCAATTTAAATATTTGTACCCACAACTGGATTGTTACTGGCCATGGTTTGGTTTATCAAGTACGATATAGATATAATATAGATATTGATGTCTGAGTGAGCTCAAGTTGTTTGGGTTTGTATTTGTGGGGGAAAAAAAGATAATAAAATGATGATCCCTGTGGAACATTTTTTTGACAATGAATGGCCTTCACAACCACAAATATATTCATAATAAAAATGCGTATTATCACATATTGTGTAGGCCTGTAATACACAGTCTGAAGAAGTTTCAAGAACATAATAATCCACACACCAAGGCTGATCGTCAATGTGCAGTGCCCCGTTTTCAAGTCAGGGCGAGGAAAACACGTCAAGCGTTCTAAATGTGCCCCCTGAATGCGGATGTAAGGGCCAATTTTTTCAACTCAACAAACTCATTTAAAATATTATTTCCATTCCATTGCCTTTTCTTTTTCACACTTTAAACTGATACTGCCATCGCCATTTAAGAAGCCCTTTCACTTCCCTTCATCCTATGGTTTAAATCTTCAAACATTTTAATAGTTGACAAAGCATTTGCTTCTGTTTTGATTTTATTTGTTTGTTTTTTGTTGCCTTTGATTTGCTTTGTTTTGGTTTTTTTGCTTTTTATTGGGGGGGGGGGGGGGTGGGGTGGGGGGGGGGGGGCAAAAAGCGTTACATTTTTTATGCAGAAATCGAACACTAGCTAACAGTAACAGTCATGTATTTTATTTTTCTGTACAAAAGTCACCCTTGGCTTGTAATTCACTTTCAAGATGAAGATAATAATGATAATACTGCATGTAAAGATCTATATAAAACAAACCGCTTCGTCTGACCCTTCCACTTCCAGGTCTTTATATGCACGTGGTACCGCCAAGACGGCCAGGGGGTGGGGTGGGGGAATACAAATACATCATGTATGTACGGGAGGACTCACGTAAAGAGCGACCACTATTAAATCTGGATTATACTCAATGGCTTCCAAAATCATAATAAAAGACCGAAAGCCACTGTTATATTATCTGGTCCTGACAAAATTACAATTTCCCATTTTCATAAATAAATGCGCTGAAATGTCTTAGGCCTAAATCTAGACATTTTTTCAACTTACTAAAATCATGTATTACGTCAGCAGGTCATGGGCTCACAAAATGGCGGCAATGATTGAGTCCCAGCCCTCAAAGGACTGCGGTAAAGGCGAGGAACACAAGGCTTGAGCCAATTGTTCTGGCACTGCTTTCAACTTGCTACACATAGATCTACTAAAAAGCCCACCACTCATCACACACACGTGAAATAATGGCAGACCCGATGTGTTTTCTGATCAAGGCCGGGCTGGCTCGGCCGGGTCTATGCGAGGCGGGAACAGCTCTGATGGCGCTCCAAAAGGACAAGGTTGAGCTGAGGAGTCGTGCCCGCACCAAGGTGTCCCCTCTCAGCATTCACGCTCTACAGAAACAGCGGAAGGCCATGGAAGCCAATAGGTCGGCCAACCTGAGGCTGTCTAGGAACCTGCACAGAACCCAGCAACCACAGGTAAAATAGTAATAGATCTGATATTATCTATTCATCAGTCTTACAAAGTTCTATCTCTGCTCAAACTTATATCTAGATCTAGACTAGAAATCTAGATCTAGTTTTGAGAAATTTGACGTCAACATTTTTTAAGTTTCACAATATGTCAAGCTTTCTTGAATGCAAGTCTTGGAATATCTTGGTAGTGACTCTGAATATTCTAAAAAGATATTGATAAAGCAGATAGAGTCAAGATCTCCATGTATTTTGCTTTCTGGCCTCGTGGTCTTAGTAACTCAAAACAGCCAAAAAATGTAAAAAAGAACCGTGTAGTTCTGCGATAGCGATTTCTTTACATCAGTAGATCTATGTTTGTATGCCTTGTTTGAGTAAAGACAAGAGAAACACGTCGACACAATAATAGCCATTTAGTGCTGGAAAAAGTAAGTCAGACAGACAGAAACAAAAGAGGGAAAGTAAAGAAGTAGAACCTGCCCTCGGCACCCTCCAACCATCCACCCTACACTGATGGAGGGAGCAAGTGTAGCCAACAGAACGGTTTGCACGAACTGTGTAAGCAGGCATGTTTGCGTTTATAAATAATAAAATTATAATAAGCCTACAATCGAAACTGCCCAGAACCCAGCAACAGATATTATATTATTATCATGGCTTACCTTAGTCTCAATAAAAAGTTTCATGGAACTTGCAACACAGACAGACCATATAAGTGCCGAAAATTTGAGGTGTTACTAACTGGAAAGTAACATACAAAGAAAAGAGGGGGGAGAAAGGATGATAGACGTTTGATAGGAAATAAGGAGCAAACCAGACTACTTGAGCATCTGCTAACCACCCACTTGTGTGTGTGTGTGTGTGTGTGTGTGTGTGTGTGTGTGTGTGTGTGTGTGTGTGTGTGTGTGTGTGTGTGTGTATGCGCGCGTGCGCGTATGCTGACGTGTGCGTGTGCGTTTAGGTATTTAATTTACCACGTCGCAGCAAATTTCTCTTTGTGGAGATCAATAAAGTGTGGCGTCGTCGTCTGAAAATAAGCAAAAAAAGAAATAATTAAAGAAAAAAGTGAAAAAAAAAAAAAGGTGTAAGAAGTTATCTAGATCTAGAACCAAGACATAAGTAACAATACCGATTTTATCCAAATTAGATTACTGTAATCAAATGCTATTTATCCGGTTTGGCGGCCGGAAAACTATCAATCAAAGTTACGAGTACTTCAAAATCAAGCAGCAAAATTGATAAAGAAACAAAATAAATCAGAGAACGTAACACCAATTCTGAAAGAACTATACTGGCTGCCTATAAAAGAAAGGATTAAATACAAAACTGCTGTTGTCTGTTTTGAATGTATAATATCATACTGCACCTATTTTAAGGGATTCCCTATTAAAATTTTCCTAAAAGAATTCCTGGAATTATATAATCCTCCCACAGCCATTAGATCAGCCACTTACAATTTAATTCTTAGAACTCAAAAAACGAAATTACTAAACATGCCACGGGCATTCCTTTATATTCTTTGGTCCCCATATATTGAACGAACTCCCTTATAAAATAATTAAGGAGTGCCCCTACTTTTAGCATTTTCCAAAAACAGCTGAATCATTTCTTATTCACAAATACAAATTCACCTGTCAAAACGATTAACTGTTATAATATATAATTGTGCATGTGTATGCCCGACCGTGAGACTGGGAAACTAGCGTGTGAGATTGAGAGAGAGAGAGAGAGAGAGAGAGAGAGAGAGAGAGAGAGAGAGAGAGAGAGAGAGAGAGAGAGAGAGAGGGGGGGGGGAGGGAGCGATAGAATGAGACGGAAGACGGAGAGACACAGAGAGAGAGAGAGAGAGAGAGAGAGAGAGAGAGAGAGAGAGAGAGAGAGAGAGAGAGAGAGAGAGAGAGAGAGAGAGAGAGAGAGAGGATGGTAATGTTTTTCTTTTTATAGAGAACAAATGTTTTTATTATATACCAAGGCCCCAAGATCTGAAATGCTTTACCCAGTACTCTAAGAGAGACCAAATCTTTTGATTTCTTCAGATGTCAGCTGAAGTCGTTTCTGTTTTAAAATTAATAAGATGAATATTTGGAGTCATTTTCTCTTAGTCAGAATACAACGTTTTATGTTACTGTTGTACGTTGAACTATATTGTAAAGCGCTCAGAGCCTGTGTACTTTATTCGGGGGATTAAGCGCTATATTATTATAAATGTTTCATTTAATGTTATTTATTAATTATTATTATTATTAATTATTATACGTACACACACCGTCCATTTAATTTTTAACGTGTGATATTTTTTATTAATGTAATGCGCATTGAGCATCTTTTAGAAAACGGAAACATGCGCAGCATAAATGCTACATTTATTATTATTATGTATTACCTTACCTTACCTTACCTTACCTTACCTTACCTTGCCTTGCCTTGCCTTGCCTTGCCTTGCCTTGCCTTGCCTTGCCTTGCCTTGCCTTGCCTTACCTTACCTTACCTTACCTAGCCTTGCCTTGCCTTGCCTTGCCTTACCTTACCTTACCTTGCCTTACCTTACCTTACCTTACCTTACCTTACCTTACCTTACCTTGCATTGCCTTGCCTTGCCTTGCCTTGCTTTGCCTTGCCTTACCTAACTTACCTTACCTTACCTTACCTTACCTCACCTCACCTCACCTCACCTCACCTCACCTCACCTCACCTCACCTCACCTCACCTCATCTCATCACACCTCACCTCACCTCAATCACCTCACCTCACCTCACCTCACCTCACCTCACCTCGCCTCACCTCGCCTCACCTCACCTCACTTTACCGTATCTTACCTCACCTTATATCAGTTTGCCTTGCCCTGCCTTGCCTTATCTTATCTTATCTTATCTATCTTAGGGCTCAAGTGGCTAAGTGAGTAGTGAGTTCCGACTCAAATAATGTCAAGCAAGTGTCGATGACAGGGGGTTTAAATGGGAGGTCACCGGGGTGTTTTCTTGAGCAATACACGGCAATCCTAGCTCAAAATACAGGGTGCTGCACAGTGGCCACCGGCAATGGCATGGTTGTACATGTATATTGTTCTGTACTTGATAATATTGCGTATTTATGTATGTGTTTGTACATGTATTTAATGTATGTATTTATGTATGTGTGTATGTATTCATATGTATGTATCATGTATGCATATATATATGAATGTATGTATGTTTGCCATTGTAAACCAAATTGCCCTTCTGGGATCAATAAAAGTGTAATTTATTCATTTATTATTATTTATATATTATGCAGGAGGGAGAAGCACCTAACAGTAGACCGACTACGTCAGAACTCCAACTCATCAAATCCATTCAACCAAACTCCGAGACAGGTATAAAAAAACTCAAGCAAACTACGTCACGGGGGCGCATGCCTGCTGCGGCCATCCATGGGTTCCGGTATCACTCCAATGGCGAGGAGCGTCGCATGACGCATAGCAACAAGCAGCAGACGACCCCAGACAGCGGTACAGAGAGTGTGCACCAGGTGAATGTCACCGACAAGCTGAGGGAAGCCAAGACGCACTGTCTCGTGTCCGCCATGTTGCACTCGCGTGACCAGATGGGATCTTACTACTGCAACCCATTCCTAGCGGATCTTTTCTGGCGAGACCCATTGGAGCCAAGGTTTACTTGTTGATAATAACATTTATATAGCTTATAACCACTCTCTACAGCATGCTCCTTGAGCTTTACATTGCCATTATTCCTTGCCCTTCTCAGTGGCACCCACTGTAATTCTTTTGGGGCAAATATAGCTGTCTTTACCTCCCTGTCTGTCTGTCTGTCTGTCTGTCTGTCTGTGTATGCGCGCGTGCGCGTATGCTGACGTGTGCGTGTGCGTTTAGGTATTTAATTTACCACGTCGCAGCAAATTTCTCTTTGTGGAGATCAATAAAGTGTGGCGTCGTCGTCTGAAAATAAGCAAAAAAAGAAATAATTAAAGAAAAAAGTGAAAAAAAAAAAAAGGTGTAAGAAGTTATCTAGATCTAGAACCAAGACATAAGTAACAATACCGATTTTATCCAAATTAGATTACTGTAATCAAATGCTATTTATCCGGTTTGGCGGCCGGAAAACTATCAATCAAAGTTACGAGTACTTCAAAATCAAGCAGCAAAATTGATAAAGAAACAAAATAAATCAGAGAACGTAACACCAATTCTGAAAGAACTATACTGGCTGCCTATAAAAGAAAGGATTAAATACAAAACTGCTGTTGTCTGTTTTGAATGTATAATATCATACTGCACCTATTTTAAGGGATTCCCTATTAAAATTTTCCTAAAAGAATTCCTGGAATTATATAATCCACCAACAGCCATTAGATCAGCCACTTACAATTTAATTCTTAGAACTCAAAAAACGAAATTACTAAACATGCCACGGGCATTCCTTTATATTCTTTGGTCCCCATATATTGAACGAACTCCCTTATAAAATAATTAAGGAGTGCCCCTACTTTTAGCATTTTCCAAAAACAGCTGAATCATTTCTTATTCACAAATACAAATTCACCTGTCAAAACGATTAACTGTTATAATATATAATTGTGCATGTGTATGCCCGACCGTGAGACTGGGAAACTAGCGTGTGAGATTGAGAGAGAGAGAGAGAGAGAGAGAGAGAGAGAGAGAGAGAGAGAGAGAGAGAGCT